GAGAGAGAGAGAGAGAGAGAGTCCCTCTCTTGTCTACATACCGTGAGAGAGAGAGAGAGAGAGAGTCCCTCTCTTGTCTACATACCGTGTGAGAGTGTGTGTGTGTTCATCCATCCATCCCTCTCTTGACTACATACCGTGTGTGTGTGTGTGTGTGTGTGTGTCCATCCCTCTCTCGACTACATACCGTGTGTGTGTGTGTGTGTGTGTGTGTCCATCCCTCTCTCGACTACATACCGTGTGTGTGTGTGTGTGTGTGTGTGTGTGTGAGTGTGTGAGTGAGAGACTGTGTGTGTGTGTCCCTCTAATACTTTCTGCAAACTGAAGTGTGTGTGTGTCTCCCTCTCTAATACTTTCTGCAAACTAAAGTGTGTGTTGTGTGTCTCCCTCTCTAATACTTTCTGCAAACTAAAGTAGGCCCATCCTTCAAACTTTTGTGAGGTTCAATTTTGGATAAGGTTGGAATTTGCCATTCCACCCTGGGATGGCATGAATCAGTGTTGTTGTTGTTGTTGTTTACACCCAGAATAATTTCATCCACTGGAAACTAGCTGTCTTGTGTTTGTAATAATTCAGTAGTAAATTTGGCAACACCACCTTGGCCGTAGGTGAGAGGCTAGAGAAAGTAGATTTACCCCACACCTAGTTAGAAGCAGCTGGGTTTTTTGTTGTTGTTGTTGTTTTGTTTTGTTTTTTAATCCTGGTTCAGACCTGCCATCTAATTTTCCTGAACAATCGAGGAAAGATTTTTTTCAGTTAGCTTATCATCTGGGCAAAAGATGTATTTGGTGTAACTTCCTGTTTTCAGCAAACTGCAACACTGCAGATTCGAATGCACCACTTTTGGGGCAGAAATCCTCAGCCGACCTGACAGTCCCATAGCCTTTGGTTTGTCTTAGGCAAAGCCTCAATAACTCAGTCAAAAGAAACTTAGATGTATTTAGTAACTTTTTTTTTTTTTTTGTAGATGCATGGTAAGGGTGGAGAATTAGAAAAAGAAAAAGAAAAAAAAGTTTGTCACTTCTTGTGTATTTTGGCTTTCATTTTAAACTGAATTCCCGTGTGTTCAAAGATAATTTACCTCCTCTTCATATTCCCAAATCTTGTGTCTTCAATCATCCGTTCTATGTGGTCTGCTTTTCTGTGATTTCCCACCTCTAGACATGAGCTGTGTGCATCAATTTTTGAGGGTGTCCTCCAGCCCATTTGGCCCTAAATGCCAAGTTTTTAGTCCCACTGAACCCATTGCCCACTTGTCACTGTCTCTGTCCCTTGTATTTAAGTCTTTATTACCTACTGTCATCTTCAGTGGCTGGACTTGTTCATTCACCTATGTCCACTTTGCAACCAGATTGCATCTGTTCTGAGCAGATAACCCTACCAGACAGTACAAAAAGATGTAATAGTAATTTTGCTTCTCAAAACACCCTTCATCTCTGTGTCAGCAAACCTGGTATCTATCAGGATGAGCCATTTGGAAAGATAGTGACACCAGAATTGAAGTTCAAAACAGTTCCACAAGGTTCTAGCAGGCCAAAGTCAACGAGATTAAAATATAGCTTCAGAAATTAGAACCTATAAAATAGTTCGAAAAGCTCAAGTTTTAGGTTTAAACTGCTGTTTTTTAAATACCTCATTGCCAGCTTCCCATATGTGCCCTTAGGTGTGCCTTGGAGACAGTTTTTTGTTAAGTTTGCCCATTCCTTCTGCTTTGTACTGGAAGAACCCTGAAGCCTGCCCAAAGCAGATTTAGCACTAGTCAAATGGAGGAGCACTGAGTCATTTGAACAGCCATCGGAACGATTATTTCTAAGACTTGGGTAAGGAATTAGCCATCTGTGCAAAGGAAGTGGATTTCACAGGTTGCTTTCCAAACTGACTTGGCTTCGGCTTTACCCAGAGATATAATTACTAATTCAGAGGCCCCTTCCAGATCCAAGAACCAAACTTGGGAGGAAAAGAGCAAAACCAGAATCTGAAACTAACAGAGTTTACATTTTGTTTTTAACCATTATTAGCTGGGTAGTTTTGAGCAACTTCTCAGTGTTTCATCCTCATCTGATATGGGGATGATAACTAACTCATGAAATTGTTAAGTTAAACATGGACAGATATTACTGATGATGAAAAGTCTCTAAAGACCCAGTGCCTGAGTTTGGAAACCACAGATTTAATGACCCATTCCTGTTCTTCTGTCCAAGTTTCAAATGCTATAACCCTAAAATTTTCACTATTAAGCTTTACAGTATATTCTAATAAATCTCACTTGTTTTGAAGCAGTGTAATTTGTAATTTTTTATGTATATTAGTGTGCTGCCTGCACATATGTGTAGGCAACGTGTGTGCCAATACTGTCTGCATGCTGAGGGAGGCCAGAAGAGGTTCCAATTACTCTGGACCTAGAGTTACAGACAGTTGTGGTCTACCACATGGGTACTGGGAATTGAACCCAGGTCCTCTGCAAAAATAAGTTGTAGACTGAGTTTGCCTGAGCCATCGGCCAAAAAGTTTATAATTAATATAATCATCTGTGTATTTATTTGGGACTAAACAGCTGGAGGACCAGGTGGGACAGAAGCTCTGTCTACAATAAGTGCTCTTAATCTCTGGAGCCATCTTTCCAGCTTTCAAAATAGTTATTATAAAAGGAATAGGCTGGACATAGTGGTAAATGCCCTTAATCCTAGCACTCCAGAGGCAGAGAAGTGTATCTCTGAATTTAAAGCCAGCCTGTTCAACATAGTTCGAGGCCAGCCAGTGCCACAAACTGAAACCTTTAAAAAAAGAAAAGGAGAGGGAGAAGGGATTGACATCTGAAGCAAGCTTGTTCCTAATTTGAACTAATAAAAAAAAAAAAAGGGATCAGTCAAGTAAATCGTATTTTTGAAAAGTACGATTCTGAAGACATTTTTTGCTGACGTGTATATGTGAAGAGTATGTATGTGGATGTGTGTACATGTATGTGTGGAGGTCCGAGGTGTCTGATCCCCTGGGGCTGGAGTTACAGGTTGTTGTGAGCACCCCAGTGTGGGGATTAAACTGGGTCCTCTTCAAAGTAGTACATGCTCAGGAGGCTCGAGAGACGGCTTGGTGGTTAAGAGCACTGGCTGGTCTTCCAAAGGACCCAGGTTTAATTCCCAGCACCCACATGACAGCTCACAACTGTCTGTAACTCCAGTTCTAGGGGCTCCTACACCCTCTCACAGATACACATGCAGCTCACAACTGTCTGTAACTCCAATTCCAGAGGCTCCTACACCCTCTCACAGATACACATGCAGGCAAAACACTAGTGCACATAAAATAAAAATTTTAAAAAGCATAATGCTCTTAATTGCTGAGCTATCCCTCCAGCACCTTGCTTTGTTTTTTGAGACAGGGTATCCCAGGCTGGCCCCGATTCTCTTGCTGGGATTATAGGCAGGTACTAGGTGTTTTAAAAATACGGTGATCTCACTATGCTGCTCAGGGTAATTTCCCACTCCTGTGCTCTTAATGAGTCTCCTGTCTCGTCTTCCAAGTAGTTAAGAGCACACATTTCACAGGTACTTTGACAAATGGAGCCGGGGAGACCAGGGGACGGGGGGGGGGCACCAAACCAGAACATCCAATGACAGAGCTGCAGTCTCTGTAGCCCTCACAGAGCTACAACCATTTTCTTAAGTATTTTCAAAGAATCTGACCAGCTCTGCAAAAATCTGTACAGTTTTTATACCGAAGCTGTTGTTGAGCTATACTTGAATTCCTGTTCTTAATAAAACAATAGCCTAAACCCCACAATACTGTTCTCACACCGCCAGTCATCACGGAATAGCCATCTTTCCTATCCGTTTTCCATTCCTCTTTTCCCTCCTCCTCGCTGCTTCTGTCCTTGGACCCTCTTCATGTTTCTCTTTTGGCTCAGCTGTGTTCTGCCCATCTGGCTATTTTTGGCTCATTATTCAGACCACATTCCACCCCCTTTTGGAGTATTCCCAATGGAGGGGCCTGAAAGTTTGTTCTTTATCTTTGGACGATGTTCAGAGCAAAATGGGAAGAATAGGGTGGTAGTCTTTTATGAAGTGTTTTTTTTTTTTTTTTTTTTTTTTTTTTTTTTTTTTTTTTTTCTCATTACCTTCAGGAGGTATGTGACTTTTCTCTCTGGCAGAGTGTCAGTTACTTTTCTGTGAAGAGACACCGGGATCAAAGTGACTTTTAGAAAGCATTTAGCTGGGGGCTTGCTTGAAGGTGAGTCCATGGCCATCATGGTGGATAGCATAGTAGCAGGCAGGCAAACATGGTGCAGAAGCAGTAGCTGGCAGCTTAACCACAAGTCAAAAGCATAGACAGGTAACTGACTACAATGGGGGGGGGGCTTTGAAACCTCCAAGACCACCCCCAGTACCACACCTCCTCCAACAAGGCCACACCTCCTAATCCTTCCTGAACAGTTCTACTAACTGGGGACCAAACCTTCAAAAACATGAGCCTATGTGGGCCATTCTCAATCAGACCACCATGAATGGTAAGTCTGGTTGTTTTACCTATTTATTGCTACGTCTCAACCTTCAGATTCTCCTTTCATTTCTTTTTGTATTTCTTTGCAGGACATGTGAGGACATCCTGCCTCCTGACTTGTTAGGCTCTCCTTTACCATGACAGTGACAGCACTCTCTGGTGTAAGCTTTTTCTCATCATCTCAAAAAGGGACCAGATCCAACAAAAGTGCTGCCCTTGGAGGGACACAGCATGAACTAGTCCATGTATTTTTTTCAATAATCATTTGTTTTATGTGTATGCATCTGTGTGTACCATGCATGCAGAAGGTCAGAAGAGTTGCATACTGAATCCTCTGTAACTGGAGTTGCAGGCCCTTGTGAGCTGGCATGTTGGTACTAGAAATTGAATTCAGGTCTTCTTCACGACCACTAGGTGCTCTTAACTGCTGGACTGCTCCAGCCCTTGTAGTTTTTTCAAATTTATTTAATCCAAATTACAAAAGATACATTATTCATGGTTTTTTAAAAAGAAAAACCAGTTCCTCTTAGAAAACAAAACAAAACAAAAAAAACTTACGTTAACACATAGTGCCTGGTATTGGTGGCGCACACCTTTAATCCCAGCACTTGGGAAGCCAAGGCAAGCAGATTTCTGTGAGTTCAAGGCCAGCCTGGTCTCCAGAGCGAGTGCCAGGATAGGCTCCAAAGCTACACAGAGAAACCCTGTCTTGAAAAACCAAAAAAACATAACATAGCAAAGGTTGCAAACAATAATTCCAGTATGATTACTAACAATAGACACATAACTGGCTAGATTACAATTCTCATAATTTCAATTCAATCTAAAGAATAAAATGTTCTCCTGGTGGGTGAAGTATGAGTAACTCCACAGTTCCCTCTCTTAAAGTCCAATGCATTGCTGCTCCTAATTTCCAAAGATAAGTTTGAGATGCTACGATCGTTGAGTACTGAATACCAGCAGCAAAGCTTTTGTCCAGTTCCTCGTATACTGAAGGGCTTTGGCCACCCATCACCTCCATGGTAGTGTTCAATTGCTCTAATGAGTCCTTTTCCCCTAAAGGGGGAAGTGTCTGAGGCAACAGCAGAAATGACTTTTGAGTGGCGAAAATGAGTTCCATGTCCCAAGATGTAGTTCGGATAAACTGGTGCTAGACATTCATCCCTTGGCTGGATCCAAGATCATTAAAACTCAAGAGGTCTGGGAAGTTGATGCAACAAGTTTGTGGAGAAACAAGAAATCACCAGTTGTAGTCTCCTTCCCTTCTCAGGCTGCAGAATGATGACATCAGAGGGTCAGAAACACAGCTTCAGCAGATGTCATTGGAATTTGTTTGGGTAGGGGCTCCAGCAGTCACAGTATCATCAGGTCTGGCATTCCTCTGCGCCATGCACCTCATTTTCTTCCTTCGAGAAAACATAAACATGCCCTCGACACCATATTAAAACAGGACCAGGTCCTTTCCATAATCCAGTGCAAGGATCTTTCCATTTGACTTGAGGGAAAGTCACTCAAGTGCCATCATGCCAGAATCTATCTGTGGCAGATTGCTCATGGGCATCTACAGTCAGAAAATTTAAAATGAAGAGTGCATGATTTGTGGAGACTGGGGGTACAAATCCCCTTTACTTATTTTTTGAAGTGTTTTCAAAACTCCATGGGCATGTCAATTGCATGTTCCATTTGAGTCAGTGTTTATCTAGCAGCCTCCATGAACTGTCTAGAGAACTAGGGTCACAACTGCCCTTAAAAATCTCATTGAGGGGGGGTCAAGATCTCCTATAGACAATTTTAAATAGGGTCATAGCTCCCAATAATTTTTGAAAATTATTTAGAGTTTGTAAGTAGTCTTTTTCTAATCCAAGCTGTAAAGCTTTCATTAGCTGGCATGGTCTCATTTGCATTTTCACAGACCTTTGCTGAGTGAAGCTGAGCAACAGCCCTTTGAGACTTTGTCATAAACGTTTGTCAAATCTTGTATTAACCTCCATTCTCTAGATTTCTTTTTTAACCACGAAAATAAGAATTTCTGCATCCTCTCCTCTGCTAAAGGCTATTCCTACACAATCCCTGGGCTCTCGGGCCATGTTGTTGGCTTTGGCCATTTCCTGCCAACTGGCTCTGGCATCTGGCCTTGGGAGGCGTAGACATTGTCTGACCTGATGCCCTTTTTGACTGCATCCAAAGCAATTCCAAGGAAGTCCTTTGCTCCTCCTTTGCCCTAGGCCATGATTAATTTGTTGGAATAAAACATCTTTAACTGAAATCCCTTGTAATACAGCAGACATAGGTAGCCCCGGAGTGTATGAGGGTCCAACATCTGAACAAATTCAAATAAAATCAGAGATAATCTGCTTGCTTTCTAAAAGTCTTTGTGGCTCCACCCTCTTGCCAGGAATTTAGCAAACAGGAGGCCTCGGCTTGCCTTTGCCCTCTGGGCCTGGGTCATTTGTGGCTTCGGCTGCTTGAAAAGTCAACTGCCACCATTGTAGTAGCTCCGAGACCATGGCACCCACAGGTGCTGCTGACCTAGAGTGTGTGCTGGCCACACCTTCGCTTTCCCAAGTCTTAGAGAAGCTCTGAGACAGCTGCAATGGTGACTTGTGTGGGGGAGGGATATTTACAAATTCTAAAAATGTCTGTTCTTCTGCTTTACTCCAGTTCTCCTGGCTATTAAAATATACCCAAATAAATATACAATCATCTGACTAATATTTTTGTTTCATATCTACAATTATATATATTTTTACTCCTGAAATTAACTCACCCAATTTCACTTTTATCTGAGTGCTCACTTTACACTTTACACCTGAGGTGCCCATTTGTGGCATCCATCACTTCTGTCCCCTGTGTGGAGGTCCACGTTGTGGCCTGTCTTTGTGGTGCCAGCGTGTATTAACCCGTTGTTTACTTGTATTGTGAAGGTACTACCAATGACACTAGAGGGAAATGGCAACTGGTTAGAGTTTACTTTGAGTCGTAGATGCTTAGGACACAAGCCCACCTGACCGAATTACAGGAGTAGATGTAGAGAGTAAATATAAACCTGTCAAGATTTAAAAAAAACAAAAACAAAATCCAGGGTGTCCGTGTCTTGTTAAAATTCTTTGCTAGGGACAGACTTAAAACAACACCTACCCATCTGTGGTCGTTTGAATGTAATCTGGCCCCCATAAGCTCATAGGGAGTGGCACTATTACAAGGTTTAGCTTTGTTGGACTTGATATGGCCTTGTTGGAGGAAGTGTGTCACTGTGGGGGCGGGCTTTGAGGTTTCCTATGCTCAGAATACTGCCCAGTGTCTCAGTCAACTTCCTGTTGCCTGCAAGATATAGGACTCTCAGCTCCAGGACCACATCTGCCTGTATGCTTTCGTGTTCCCCATCGTGATGGTAATGGACTGAACCTCTGAAATCGTAAGCCACTACCCCAATTAAACTTTTTCCTTTATAAGAGTTGCCAGGGTCCTGGTCTCTTCCCAGCAATAGAAACTCTAAGAAATCCTCCTCCCAAGGTACTAACGATAAACTGAAGCACAGTTCCACTCAGGGAAACCAATGATTTTTTGGGCTTCCTCACAGTGCCTAGGTGAGGGGATACTTACAGGAATGTGTGCACACCTCCCGCAACTCCCAGCACTCTGATGACACCCTATGGAAGGCCTCACCATCCAGGGGGAGCAGAAAGGATAGGTGATAGGTAGGGTTTTAGTTGGGAGGGGGTTGGTCGGGGAGGGGTGGGGGGTGATGGGAACTGTGATTGTCATGTAAAATAATCTTGTTTCTAATACAAATTAAAAAAGCTGCAAAAAAAAAAAACAAGAAAAAGAAGATTTTGCAGGAATTTACAAGTTTATCCTGAAGCTTTGCCTAGCCTTTAACTTTTCAATACTTACATCTTTACATATATATTTAATAGACAGTCATTCAATATGATAATAGGTAATACAAAAAGGAAGTTCCAAGTGACAATACAATAGATAATCAGTGTTTTGAGATTTTCTTTGCAAATAATTGCATAAGGTATATAAAAATCATTTAGTGGGGCTCTCTGAAAATAGCATAGATTTTATGAACATATCCACTACTCTGACCTATATTAACAAAAATATGAATATAAAGTTTTGCTTATATCTTAGTTACTGTTCCATTGCCTGAGACACCATGACCAAGCCAACTTATAAGAGAAAGCCTTTAATTGATGTCTTGTTTACAGTTTCAGAGTGTTGGTCTGTCATCATCAAGGCGGGGTGCATAGCAGCAGGCAAGCAGGCAAGCAGGCAAGCAGGCAAGCAGGCAAGCAGGCAAGCAGGCATGGTCCTGGAGAAGTACTGGGCTTGGCATGGGCTTTATAAACCTCAAAGCCCACCCACAATGACACACCTCCTCCAAGGCCACACCTCCAATCTTCCCAAACAGTTCTGCCAACTGGGGCCCAAACATTTATATGAGTCTATGGGGGCCATCTTCATTCAAATCACCACAGCTTATTTGTCTATTTTTACAGTCTGAAACAATATGGGGAGGCAGGCAATGCCAGGAAAAAGCCACAGTGCTTCTTGTGACAATCATGTCCACTTTACTCTGTTAACTAGAAAGTCACCAACCACGTATTCAGAAGAAAAGAAAAGAGGAAAAAAGAAAAAAAAATTGGACTCCACTTAACAAAAAGATGTCCATGTATTAAAACCACCATAAAGAATGTTTACACCTGGACTGCTGCCATGGTTTAGAGGTGGGGCCTCTTTTAGCATGCTTCAGACAAATTGGATAATTTTATCTATACAAATCTTGTTTTTAAAGGATGACAGCCCATGTATGGCCATATGGCTCCAAATTCCAGGAATCAGCTTGTGGACATCTTTGGGTATATCCATTATCTGCCTTCCACACCCATGACAATTCACAGTCCAAGGTGCAGTCTAGATGGATCACTGGCCTCACTTACTTGCAGAACACCACTCCTAATTTTTTATTCCATCCGAGGAACTTTTTTCCTTTCTTTTTTCTTTCTTTTTTATTACATTTATTATTGTGTGTGTTTCAAGTTGTACCCCAGGTAGGAGACATGAGATACACAAGTTGACCCTTCTTGACTGAGACCCTAGGGTGTGAAGTGTCTCTAACAGGCCCTTGATGGCCTTCTTATATCTCTCCTCTGTT